TGAATTCTCCGAAATGATTGTCATTTATCGCCGACAGCCCGGTGCATAATATTCGAAATGGTGGGCCATCGGATATTTATAAACGACAGATATTATCTGGTTAGAGCCAATTATTGAACGGATGTTTTGAAAATGTGTGATTAAGAATTTAGAATCGTGTCATTGCAAAGCCCCGAAAACAGATAAAAATGCGCACATTACGCGCAGTGAAGGTGGAATGGAGCATCATTAATAATTTGTCACAATTTACGTGTTCAAATTATGTGAGCGGCAAAACCACGCTTTTATTTTTAAGCTAATCTGGTGGCTTGATGTTCACATTACATCTGTTATAACTTATGTCCAACTCGCTGCTGCAAAGCGCCTTTTTCTAGTTAAGTTAGTTTCAATAGAACGGCTGAAACAGTTGAGTTGGACAAACAGAAAAACTGGTATACGAAACTTGGACTTGATTGGAAATGAATGCAGTTTATTGTTTTAGGTGAAGTGCTGTCTTTGGCTGTTGGTCTCTTTTTATCACTCGTGTTGTGTCCATGCGGGGGTGCAATCGGTTATGCGGACGAGACACTGTTGCCGTGTGCAGTTTTGGGACACGAGCGATGCCGTTGCACCCCCGATCTACGGGAGTTCCAGTGCCGTGGTGCGGGGTTTACTGGAGTGCCCGACTTGCCCTACACCATCAACAAATTGTAAGTACTGTTTTTAAAGAGAGTTTTTTCCGGAGCGGTTTTTTGATTACGGGTACCACTCGTAACTCGTTTTAACTGGTTTCAGTTCAACTTTTTTTGAAGTGAAAACTCTTTATGGGAGGGTGAACCGGTTTGAACCACTCCGGCCTCTTCGCGCCTGAGGCTTGGGACGCACAAGTGCAGTTTAAACTCGACATTTTTGTCTTAGTGCGGGTGCATCTGTAGGTCTGATAAGCTTTTTAAATACACATTGCGTTATTAAACTGACAGTGATTTTGATTTATCAATTATTGAGTGTGATATTATTGCCTTCGGTGCAGTTTATCTTATAACGCTGATAAAAATGAATAAAGAATTTAGCAAGGGAGAAGGTGCAGATACTGCAAACAGTTTAAGTGCAAAAAAATGCGGATCGTCCATCAATTTGCAGAAAATTGTATTACAAACTTTTGAAAATCATCTTCGAACGACCGAGTATTTATCATTGCAAATGAGATTGCACATTGCCGTGCACTGTTAAATATTGATTTAAGCACTAACAATCGATGTTGTTTTTTTTACAAACTTCTTTTTGGGTATTTCGCCTCAAAATTTACGTTTTTTTGTGGTTTGTTCTTTTGTTAAAATTGTGGAATTATTCCATTGAATTTTATGGCAATTATCAAATGCATGTTGACAAATGTGTGATTTATGATATTCTCTGT